CCCCCGAGGTGCCGCATCCTCCTGGAGGCCTCCCTGTGATGCTGCCTTAGAGCACGTGGTACGGGGGCCTCGCCCACCCGGTCTCTCTGCTGGAGGAGCTACTGTTTTGCCTTTGCAGTTAGGATGTCATCTGTGGGGAAACACATGGGGACCAGGTACATAAGCCGGCCTTGACTGAGCTCCCCCGATGCATTTCCGCCACAGCCGATGGTTCACTGATTCCACTTCCTTCTGTGTTTATGTCAGCTTTTCACTGGGAGAAAGTGTTTCCCCTTTCTTAGCCGTTTGTGTATGTCAGTGTGGCCTCACTTTTTCACTCACAGGGTAAACCAGTTGGTCATTACTGCTACGTTGGCATTCCATGTGGATCATGCTGGTTTTGACACGTGGACTCTTGCTGGTGGGCCCTCAGGCTGGCCTCCCGGTCCTTCTAATATGTCCCCTCGTCTTCGAACACGTCCATGCCTTTGGACCCACGGTGCCGCCCCCCCCCCCGCCACCCCACATCTTGTTTTTGCCTTTTGCTCCAGTCCTGGAACCAACTGCTCCTCCAAGAAACCTGATTCCTTTTAGTGGAAACCACGTTTAGAAATAAGGTCTGGGCACTTGGTGTGCTCACTGCTGCTTTGTATCTGAGTCTCTCCACGCAGAGAGCTAGAAAGTGTAGGTACACACGAGCACAGACGACCAAATGTGTACACACGTGCATGCATGACCAAATGTGTATGCACACGACCAAATGTGTACACGCATGCACACACGACAGAACGTGTACACACAAGACCAAATTCGTGCACAGCCAAATGTGTGCACACACGCACACATGACAGTGCGTACACACATGACCGAACGTGTGCACACATGCGCACACGACAGTGTGTACGCATACGACCAAATGTGTGCACACACGACTCACGTGTCCGTATCTGCATCTGCTAAGACCGTGTGCTCGCACAGATAGCTCCCGTCCCTCCCGGACGTGACATCTCCCACAGTGGCCCCAGCTCACACTCTGCTCTGTGTGGCAGGCCGGTGGCCCGTAAGACCCGTGAGGCCAGGTGGCTGGCGAGCAGGTGCCATTTGGCCGAGGACTCCACCGCAGCACCCTCTCTCTCTCCCTGGTGGTTGATTCCGGCATCTACCCCACAGGGCTGCAAGCACAACAGCTACGAAGACGCCAAGGCCTACGGGTTCAAGAACAGGCTGATCATCGTGTCGGCGGAGACAGCAGGCAACGGGCTGTACAATTTCGTCGTGCCACTCCGGGCCTACTACCGGCCCCGCAGAGAGCTCAACCCCATCGTGCTGCTGCTGGACAACAAGTGAGGGGCAGAGGGCACCCCAAACCTTTGGGAGGCAGGGGAGCAGCCCCCGGCCCTCGGCAATGCTCCATCGTCCTCCCGCAGGGCTTCTCCTGGCCTTGCTGGGTCCCCACGACCGTAAGCCCCCAGGGGCCAACCTCCAGCACTGCTACCCCCAGAGGCCTGGCAGCCCTGAGGCCGGGGTCCAGCCCCGGCTGTCCTGACCCCTGGGGCCTCGGTTTCCCCGCGGGTACAATAAAGAGCAGCCCCACTGGCTTCTAAAGGCCCCCCTGGTCCCACACGCTGCGGTCCTGGGGCCCCTGCTCGCCCAGGCCAGGTTTGGGCTGGCCATGGGCGCTGGCGGCAGAGCAGGGTGGGTGCCTCCAGGACCTGCTGTGCCCACAGGCCTGACCACCACTTCCTGGAGGCCATCTGCTGCTTCCCCATGGTCTACTACATGGAGGGCTCCGTGGACAAGTAAGACGCCGCTCCGCGGGAGGACCCCTGCCCTCTCCCCTCCTCCCCGGGCGGCCAGGGCGGAGTGGGAGGGAGCAGACACACCCCAGGCCGTCTCCCCGCAGCCTGGACAGCCTGCTGCAGTGCGGCATCATCTACGCCGACAACCTGGTGGTGGTGGACAAGGAGAGCACCATGAGCGCCAAGGAGGACTACATGGCCGACGCAAAGACCATCGTCAACGTGCAGACCATGTTCCGGTGCGGCGCGCGGCCCGCCCTGAGTCCCCACCCACATCCGTGACTGGGACCCGCCCTGAGCCCCAGGGACCCGCCCTGAGCGCCCCCGCCCACGTCCGCGACCAGCCCCACCCTGAGCCCACATCCACGAGCGGGACTCGCCCCGAGTCCCTGCCCACATCCGTGACCGGGACCCGCCCCCCGCCCAGGCTCTCTCCCAGCCTCAGCATCACCACGGAGCTCACCCACCCATCCAACATGTGGTTCATGCAGTTTCGTGCCAAGGACAGCTACTCTCTGGCTCTTTCCAAGCTGGAAAAGGTGAGCAGCCCCGCCCGACCTGCCGAGCTGAGGGCTTCAGCCCCTGCACCACAACCTGGAGGGAGTGGGCGACTGGGGCCATGGGAGGCCTGGGTGCCTGCCCTCCTCCGGCCAGGGGGCTCAGAGACCTGGGCTCAGCCCCATCGTGAGGCTCTTGAGTGTGTAGCCTGGAGACCTCAGGGTCATCGGCCAGGAGCGGACATTGTCCCCCAGGCCCGGCCTCGTGTGGGGCAGAGGTTGCCCATCACGCCAGAAATTACTAGCCCAGGTGACACCGGCCCCGACACCGCGGCCAAACCTGAACCGTGTCCGTTCTGTCAACTGCCCGGCAGGGACGTGCTCGTCCCGGTACAGTCGGGGTGGGGGATAAGGGGGCACAACTTGCCTCAGGTCACACAGCAGTGCGGTGGGACAGCCGAAAGTCAGCTGTCTGCTTCTCGGGCTCCAGGACGGGCATCAGCTGGGCTCAGGTGTGGAGCCTGGGGACACGGGCGGCACGGGCCTGGTGTTGCCGCCCTGGCACGTTCGTGGGCCCCAGGCCGCTGCCCGGGTCAGTGCAGCACTACCCTCCACCAAGGGGCAGGGCCGTGCTCAGGCTGCCTTGGGTGAAACCAGGAAGCAGGTGGGCTGCCACGGAGGAGACCCTGGCCGCTGCGGCCGGGGAGCAGTGACCATTCCCTGGGAGCCTGGGCTGGGGTCCTCGTCAGGGGACGGCTTGCACTTGCGTGGCTGACCCTGTGCCACACCGGGGAGGACCCCCGAACGGCCGCTCCCCCAGGCCAGGCCTGGCCACTGACAGCAGACAGAGGGACAGCATGGGAGCTCTGAACCCGGACAGACAACAGAAGTGAGTTCCCGTGGTGGCCCTGGAGCTCCTTGGATGGCAGCTGGGGGCCTCAGTCAGCGGCCCGGGAGCTCGGGCCATCCTGCTCTTGGAGGAGGCTTGGCCTGCACCCCACATGATGGCCCACTGGACCCTCCTAAACGCCCCCTTGCAGTGCCCCGTGAGCTGAGCCTGCCTCCGCTCAAGGCTGGGCCGTGGGCTTTGGAAGTCAGCCTCAGCAGCCCCAGCCGGACTGTATCCAGGCGCTCGGGCCAGTCTGATCCAAGCACGGGCAGGGGTGACCAGCACAGAACTGTGGTCAAGGCTGACACCCTGGTGCTGGCCCTCACTTGCCGCCTTCCCTCGAGCAAACCCAGTTCCCCACAGGCCTTGCACCCGGACCTGTTCCGGAGGTGGGCGTGAAGTGGGTCCGTCAGCAAACACGCAGCAAACGTCCTCCCACTCCCCTTTCCTTGCACGGCAGACATCTCAAATCCACCTGCCACCCCCTCCCTCTGTGGCAGGCATCACCACTCAATAGCACCTTCCGCTGCAGCAGCATCTCCCGGGGCAGGGGCGGGCAGCCCACTCCCCACCCCGTGGGTGCACGGCGGGGAGCCCAGTCCTGTGGTTTGTGATCTGGAGAGAAGTCAGGAAGTGAGCACGTGTGACCGTGGGCGGCTGCAGCCTTGGGCGCTTGCTGGCTGAGGTCCACGTGGGACAGGGCCGAGGATGGGGCAGGGAGGCGGGCAGAGCCACGTGATGCCACCCAGTCTCTGGAGACGGAGCTGGCGCGCCCACCCCACGCAGAGAGGATTCCGCGGAGGATGGGGAGGGAAGATGGGATCGCGCTGTACATACAACCTGCATAAGACAAGTCCTGTTTAATGAGTAGAAACTGAAGGAACACTGGGAATATTTCCGGCATTCAGATCAACGTGCTTCCAAGAGGTCGCGCTGGCACTGAGGGGTGATTCAGGTGCAGAGGGTGGCGTCCGTGTCTCCCTGGAGGTTGTTCTCAGGAAGATCTCCCAGAGTCGGGGCTCCCCACCGCATCCCAGGACGCAGGCTCCCAGTGGCGTCATCGTTCTAACAGTGTCAGCGCCCGTGACAGTGACCTTGGCCGGGAGCCCGTTCAGACTGGCCCCTCTTCGGCAGGGCCCCGGATGCTCACCCAGTCCTGCGCCTGCTTCCCTGTGGCCGCGTGGTTCTCAGGAGGGCTCGTCCCCGTGTGTTTCCACGTTTCACTGTCGCGTGCGACCTCGGAGCTCGGGCTAAAGCCTCTGGACCCTCCGCGGCCGCTGCAGAGTGGACAGCATGAAACCAGGGCCCCCGTTCAGACCCGCCCTGGTTCTCTTCTCAAACCATTCATTGTTCTGAGAGAAGGGAAGCTGACAACTTTAACGATTTCGGGAATCTCTCCGTTTGTCCTCATAACGTGCGACCTGGGCTCTGAATGTCGCCGTGGGAAGACGCAACCTGGAGTCACCACGCCACGCGGCTCTGCTTCTGCGGCCCTTATGTGACAGCGCACTGTTTCCCTCCTGGATGCCCGCGTGCCGTCCAGCGCGCCCTTGGGCTCCCTGCTGGTGGGGAGGGACAGAGGCGAGGCCTCCTTCCCCGGGCGTCTGTCTGCCCCGCCGTCCAACCCTGCAGCAAGGAGGCTGCCAAGGCAAGGAGCAGCCTCAGTCAGAAGGGCCACGAGAGGGCTCTTGGTGGTCTACGCGGCCCACCTTCTGTCTGTTCGAAGCGTGTTCTGGTCCAGCAGGAAGGACAGTCTCCCGGGCTCAGAGCCGCCTCTCAGCCATAGGCCGACCTGGTGCGGTGGGGACAACGCCCCCCAGAAGCCCCCGCCCTAGCCCTGGAACCAGCACAGGGTGGAGAAGACGATTCCATGAAGAATCCTGAGGTGGAGGGGGTCCTGGTTCACCCAGGGCCCACACGCCATCACCAGGGGTCTTGCAAGGGGGAGGCTGGAGGTCAGCGTGGAGGTGGAGATAGGGCCAGAGGCCAGGGACGTGGTCAGCCTCTGGAAACGGCGAGAGGGGGAGGAAAGGGTCGTCCTCTGGGGCCGCCGGCCAGAGCACGGCACCGTGACGCCTGGTTCCAGCCCTTGAAATCCGTTCGGACTTGCAACGTCCAAAACCGACAGAGTAAACGCGTGTGGTTTTGAGCTTTGGGGTTTGTGGTCGTCTGTTCCGCGGCCACGGGAGACGCACACAGTGGGTCTAAGGGACCCGCGTGGAGCCTCGCGACGCCACGCACACAGCACAGGCAGACATGTCTGTCTCTGCTCACGCGCATGCCCTGCCGTCCTCTCAGTTTCGCTCACGGACTCGTGCTCTGGGGTGAAATTACCGCAAGGGTTAGGGTTCCGCGATGGCAACGGCAGGGCATTAAACCAAGTACAGGCCCCCGTTTCTTTCCAGCAGAGCCCCGAATCCTTACCCCCGCCTCTGGCCCCCCGTGTGTCTGGGGGGACGCGTAGCTGGGTGGTCGGCCTGTGGTCGGCCGTCTGCTGTGTGTGTTCACACACTCGCCCTGCACACGCGCGCACACCTCGTGCGCGCGGAGGCCCCTGGGCTGCCTGCCCCGCGCGGCCGCGGCTGTGGCCACGGGCACCAGCCAGCTGCGCCCCTCGTCCTGCAGAGGGAGCGGGAGAACGGCTCCAACCTGGCCTTCATGTTCCGCCTGCCCTTCGCCGCCGGCCGCGTCTTCAGCATCAGTATGCTGGACACGCTTCTCTATCAGGTCAGCGGGGCGGGGGCGGGCCGGTGCCCGGCATCCAGTTCCAGCCCTGAGCCACGTGTCCCTCGCTGAGCATCCTCCCCTGGGTCCCCAGGAGGCCGGCCAGGACTGGGAGGCTCTGGGTCCCATCCCCCCCGGGGAGCAGCAGGGTGAACCCGAGTGTCCCCCGTCCGTTCTTCCCAGGAGAGCGCTGCCCTGGGGTCGGCTCCCGGCAGCCTCTGGGTTTCTGATCCCTTTTGACCTAGTGCACTCGGCCTAGTGAGCGACCACGGCCAGGAAAGGCCGCCCAGCTCTGTCTGCTGGGCGCACCGCATGGGAGGCTGTGGGCGCCTGGCGCGCGTGTCCAGGGGATGTGGAGGCAGATCTGCCCGCACCGCCCGGCCTCACTGCGGCCCCTCCTCTCCAGTCCTTCGTGAAGGACTACATGATCCCCATCACCAGGCTTCTCCTGGGGTTGGACACCACGCCGGGCTCGGGCTACCTCTGTGCCGTAAGTGCCTGGGCCAGGCGGGCGGGCGGGCCCTGCTGGGGAGGGTCCTCCTGCCCGAGGCCGGCCCAGCCCAGGCTCCCGCGCTCCAGATGAAGGTCACAGAGGACGACCTGTGGGTCCGCACCTGCGGCCGCCTCTTCCAGAAGCTGTGCTCCTCCAGCGCCGAGATCCCCACCGGCATCTACAGGACCGAGTGCCACATA